TATATTCATATGATTGGTTGGAGGATTTCATCATGATGAGCTGACACCAGTTAGAAGATGAAGAGTCCCAAACTAGGACGAAGCAGCTGTTCAGTACTTCCAGGTTTCCCAATGATTTTCTAACTGATGTCATCAGATCATGACGAGATCCTCCAGCCAATCAAACAAAATCCCTGAAAACCAATACCTGAAAATATTCATATGACTTATTAACTTCAGTTGTTAACTGCATTCTGTTTTTCATTGCAATTTTCTACATGTCCAAGATAGAGGGTGTAACCTTTCGATTGCAAGCGCTTGGTGTTGATTCAGTAAACACAGATTCTCGAAAAATACTCATTCATTCATAAGTAAAAACACAATTTTTGTTCAGCGAAGAAATTTCTTTTCAACGACTTCATTTTCAAGCTGTACAGTCGTATTTATATTACAGTAAAAGGTTATTAAGTGGCACTAAATAATTGCTCAGTCAATGTACGTAAATATGTGATAAAAGTAACGATAATTACAATGTTATAAGGGGTAGAGTTGAAGTGGATAAATTACAAAAATATTAAAGATTGTTTTATAACAAAAATGTCAAGTGTTGTCTAAAAATTTTGAAAATTAGGAGTACGATTACGATAAGAATGAAGATGTGAAGTGAAGTGGAAAGAATTCAAGTGGTAAAATAAAATAAAAACTAGAAAGAACATTACTATGACCAAGGTAAAGAAAGGGGTTTCTGAACACATAATTTAGGTTTCTGTTCATGTATAGCTAAAGCTTCGGCTATGCATAAGTGAAGAAAACGTAAACTTTTGGATCGATTCGATTTTGCCATGTAGATAACTTTGAAAGATGAATCACGTGGGGCTAAATGACCAGACTCTAACAGGTGATCACAAATAGACGACTTTGCAGTTCTACGTTCGCCTTTCATTAACCAAACCGGATAGTGTTCAGCTACACGTTTTCGGAGATTACGCTTACAACGTCCAATATAAACAGCTCCACAAGAGCAAGTAAAAGAGTAAATGCACATAGATGTGGACAAAAGCGGTAATCTATCCTTGACGCATTGTCTAATCATATTTCGGCTGGTAAAAACTAGTTGCAGGTCAGCTGCAGGAAAAGTGCGTTTAACACATTTAGATAAACGATTTTTAATCAATTCTGAAATGGTGTCACCTTTGAATGCAAGACTCATAAACAGTTTTTTCTTTGGTACTGTGACTTGTCTCGGGGCGGATTCTTTCTTGATGTTACGTTCAATGAACCTTGTAGGGATAACCATTGTTAAGGAGATTTGATCGAAGGTTATCTAGTTCCCTATCGATTGTCTCTGCAGAGCAGATTTTACGAATTCTGGAGCATAAGGAATGAATAAGATTTCTCTTTCTCCCTAAAGGTACCCAACTGTTGAAGTTAGTGTACTGCCCAGTGAATGTTGGCTTTCGGTAAATCGACCTTAACAGCGTTCCATTCTCTCTTCTATCTAGCTTAACATCAAGGAAGTGAAACGAAGAATCCGACTCTTCTTCGATCGTGAAAAGCAAAGATGGGTGAGAACCATTAAATATTCTAAGAAGTTCGGCAGTTGAAGTGTTTTCATCACATACAATGAAGGTATCATCAATATATCTTTTATACATAAACAAACTATCGATGGTTTCCTTTAGTGGGCCATTCTCTAAGCTTGCCATGAAAACGTCCGCTAAGAGCGGTCCTAAAGGAGACCCCATGGCGACTCCATCCCTTTGATTGTAGATGACATCATTAAATCTAAATTGCACATTCAGTGTGCATCTCAATAATAGTTGTTTAAGATAATCAGTTGGTAAGCCAATGTTCATGCTATTTGAATCAATATACTCGCATAGATAGCAGATAGTGTCTACTAGTGGTACATTTGTGAACAATGAACAAATATCTAACGAAATCATATGCTTACAGTCACATTAATTTCATCAACACAACTGACGAAGTCAAAAGTGTCGGAAAGACTATGTTTACATAGATTTAATCTAACTGGTTCCAGAATTTCCGCAAGCCATTTAGCGGTAGAGTGATACGGTGAATTCAGCATATCCAATACAGGTCGCAGAGGGACATCATCTTTGTGCACCTTTGGAAGACCATATAAACGAGGGATAGTTGAACCAGATGGTTTAAGCTGTTCATACATATATGGAGTAATGATGCATTCTTGCTTCAATTTCGTCAAAGTTTTAGATAATTCCTTCTCAATATTATCTGTCTTGTCCTTTTGATCGGGTGATTTTAGAAATTTTTCTTCATCACTCAGGATGGTACATAATTTATTGACATAATCACCACGATTAAGAATAACACAGATTCCGCAATTAATCCATTCTTCTATCTAACTAAGTCACTTTTTAATAATTTTGCTTCTTACATCCTATTTCATGGTTACGTGTAAGTGAATGCATTGCGTTGGCTGGGCTCTTTTCTAAATTACTTAATTTAGCACGGTTGATCATTCTATATCTAGCTAAATTCTTTCAAAAAAATTTAGTCAGTTGTATGCCTTAATGGGGATTATTAATTCAACTCAATCAGGTTCTGCAAAGGAGGTTTATGCACAAAATTTGAAAAAGTTATGCAATAGCCAGAGACAAAATAGGGGAAAAGTTTTGAAATTTTATAAGGTTTATGAGTTTGTGTATATTTACCGTTCATGGGTGATCAAAGTGTAATCACTAAACAGACTCACAACCTAACTATGCAGTAAGGCTTATTTCCATAGAGAAAATGAAATTTATTCTTTCCTGTTGACTCCACACAAACCAAATGACAGTATCAAATCCCATTGTGTTTACATGTATACATGATCACAAGTACATAGAAAGGATCCTTATATCTCTACAGACTAGGGCTACTGAACACATCCCTCAGTGGCTGCTACAATCAGTCAATCCTAGAAATAGGTGTTCAAAGCATACCATACAGGCGCATCATAAAGTTGATTTCGTCAGTGCTTTTAAACTCATATATAAAAAAGGTTTGGGTTATATAGTCAATTGAATTCATTGAGGTCTTAGCCACAAGAGGGCCTAAACCTATTTGTGTGTCTAAAAATTACATGTTATTAGTTTGAACCTGACTTTGTATTCCAATTTTAGAACTACGGTTTATTTTACTTAATAGTATTTCCACTTCCCCATCTGTCGTGACTCGTAAACATTAGAACCTAAATTGATTATATTTCTACCCTTTATATTCTATTATATATTATATGTATATGTGTAATCAAAATGTTTGAAATATGTCGTGTGAATTGATTTTGTTCCACTTTCTTTAGTGAGTAAGACTTTATTTACTAAAACATTCCTACGATAAATGAGCTCATGGTTGTTGACATTTGAATAAAAGTCCTGATGGACTGTTTAAATCCGTTTAATACAGAACTCCAGAAACAAGTGCAGTGATTTACTGAAAGTGGTTTACATATAGATGAAGTGCAATATACCCCTAGACTGTTATCCAGTTCTGAGGACAAGTCATAACCTGCTTCACTAAAACTGAACACTTTAATTTTCTCAGCAAAGTAACTATATTATCATCAGAATTCTGTCAATGAAATTCAATGAACCTGACTAAGTTGTCAGTTTGTTCAGTGACTATGTAATCCAGTAAAGCATCCATTGCTGAGAAATGGGTCTGAAAGTACGAAGAAACAGATACTGAAGAGTCTGTGGTTTAAAGACTCAATTAAATTTTTTATTCAGTCTTCTCTTTCAATCCCTTTTATAAGCTACACACTAGTAAAGGCAGTTATAATCATAGATAAAGAAAGTTACTATACAACGAAAGAATCTAATATGTAAGACCAAGTGTGTCCCAAATGTCATGTATCTTATTTCTTCTGTTAGAAGAAATTAATAGTACCTTCACTTTTGATTATAATTTTTACATAACTTTCATTCCACTGTCTGGCAGTTGGGTTTTTCATAATAACACTGGATAGACTTTTTTTTTACCATGGAATGTGTTATAATTCCACACAACAGAATTACCCAAATTCATTAATATATCAATTAAAATAACTATCTAGTATGAAGAATAAGCTACCAAACGTTTCTTTTTCATGAGGATACAGACGGAACCATTTCAGAAGGAAACACTTTAGTGGTTGATAAATGAAATTATTTGATATGTAGATTTGTCTTGTAAGATTACAGTGAGGTATAATCCATTACGGCGTATATTACACACATATTGTAAAATTCGCTTAGGATAATTGAGAAAATAGAAGAAGGCTTTTAATTTACTAAAGAGTATAAAAATAAATCAAACAATCCACATTAAGTAATCCTAGTAAAAGAATTCAACACATGATTACCAGGAGTATAACAAGAGCAGAGAGAAAGTGCATAAAGAAACAATGACCTGAAATCTTACAGAAATATCCTTCGGACTGAAATTACAGTAATCAGTGGAGCAGTAACAACGCTTTTGTGTAGAAGAGCTTCCGTAAGTTTGAAAGCATGTATCGAAAAATGATGGCTCAAATTTTCTGAGGCATAATCGTGAAACAGTTTTTATTTCATGGTACTGTTGACCCCATCTTGGTTTTCGGAAGTCAATTCTTTGCACTTCTTCAATCTTGATGCAAGCTTTGCAACCATCTTGTTTTTGCCAGGGACCGTTTGTTCCATCGCATGGCCAAAGAGACATTTGACGCTCTCTGTCTACAATCTCACATTCATAGCAACTGAGGTTATTCGCGTGTGAGCCACCAAACAGATAAAAAATGACCAAAATTAATCCGAAATGCATATAAATCCATTCCATTTGCAGAAAAAGTATCTCACAGTGACGACTAAAAGCGGAAATGTGTACATTTTGTTCATGTGCCAATCAGAATGAAGATTAACACCCACATTTGTCTGTTGGCTAAATTATCCAATCAGAAGGCAGTAAGGACTGTTTTCAAGGTAAATGCTTTTCAAGGCCAACTGTCATTAATTATGCGACCTTAAGAGTAAACCGACGTGATGACTGTGAGCTACGGTAGTGTTATAGCAACTGTCAAGTACGGTTCGTTTTTTCGTCTTCTGTTTCGTTGGCGTGGAAGTCTTTATAAATTAGTATGGCCAGGACTTCTGGTTTACTGTATTTGTTACGCTTTGGTAGCTATCGCATATAACGCAATTCCAGATAAACCAGAATATTACAATACTAAGTTGATGTTTGTTAGAATATGTTACTACTCTGGACGAGTAACAAATGCTGTTCCATTATCTTTCGTCCTTGCATTTTATGTGAATTTGGTAGTGGACCGGTGGTGGCAGCAGTTCCTCGCATTACCAACTCCAGATGCTGTATGCCTGCTTGTATCAGCATATATAGGTGAAAGTTCGGATTCGAGTGAGCAGAAATTTTCGACAGGTGATATTCAAAAACCACTGGTTTATAGAAGGACAATTACTCGTTATATTAATTTGGCTTCTGCTCTGTGTTTTCGCTCAATATCTGTTGGTATGAAACAGAGATTCCCAACACTGGATAGCATGGTTGTGGGCGGTTTAATGACTGAGCAAGAGATGGAAATATATTCTAAATTAGATGGTTCAACAAACTGCTTCTTTGTCCCACTAGTTTGGGCCATATCCCTAATTTCGAAAGCACGTGAAGAAAGGATGATAATTGATGATCGACATGTAGATGCAATCGTAACTCAAGTGATCAATTTCTGGGAAAAGCTATATACATTGTGTATGTACGATTGGGTTAACATACCTTTGGTTTACAATCAAGTGAGTGCATTGTTTTAATTTTGCACGTTTTTCCCAGTACTATGGTTCTTGTTTTACTTTGATTAGGGTAAAATTTTATCACAAGGCTTCATTCATCTTTAAGATGCTCGTAAGATATTTTGTGTCATACATTTCCCGTTACCCACGTTGCATTAGGTTAGGAAATTAAAATGAGTCCACTAATTTGTGTAATTAGTTTTGTAACCTTGCATACACTCCTTTTAAGAATGATTTATGCAGGCAACGGCACTAAAAAACTGTTCCATGTCCATATGACCAGCATCCTTTTCAATGAGTTAACTCTAGTGGTCATCACACATGAAAGTTTTAAGATCTTAGAGACTAGCTGCAAATGTAGCCATGTTTGCTAGATTTGAGTACAACAGCTTGTTGGTTGCTCCCTCTGGTTGGTAAGTTTCACCTCCATCTACTAAGATTAGTGTTTTCGGGAAATTTATGTTTTCTCCAGAGTACATAGACGTCATAGTTGTGTTTAATGCGAACAGGCATGTCACCTTAATGTCATGGTTCATAATCTATTTCTTACTTCATGAGGATCATTGTGAAATTTTGCTTGCCCGTATCAGTTACCTGGTGAAGTGCAAAGTCCCATGTTAAAATTAGCCAGTCAGTAGTTGGTGAAGGTAAGACTGACTTTAAAACAAGTTATCACAGGCTTTTCGGAAACTTTATATGTATTGTGTTAGAGGGTTGCTAGTTACTGAAATCTCACTCTGGTAAACGTAGTTGTTACTTATCAGCTCATGTGGTGTCTAACTGAGAAAGGACAATACTGTGGAGATGTGTCTCGTTGGCTTAAGTAATGTATTTTCAGCCAGTGGGTCTCGGCTTTTAGTTCTGCTCTACTTCATTCTGGGAAACTAAATAGCATCACTAGCTCTTATATAATATACATGTTTCTCAGCCTGGTACTTGGAAGTTAGTTGATTTCATACTTAGCCTTACTTTTATTCTCTAGGGTTGTGGAATAACGTACAAGAGTGGAACCCGGCCGATAACTGCTACCTTGTCGTGGTGGTCGGGCTTGAATACCGTAATGACCCAACATGCTAAACTGACTGGGACTCATGTCACTGCAGGTCCTACCATGTCAGGAAGGTTGTTTGGATACCGGTTAAACTAAAAGCAGTTACCATGGGGTACATGGGCTCCAGTATCCCACCGGATCAAATGGCGTATGAACCCATATGGGTCACCGTCAACCATGGGGATGCAGCTCCTGACGGTGCTTCGTTGCCTTGCGGATTAGACTCCAAGTCTAAGGCCCGTGGGTGGTCCCTTAATAAAACCACCTGGTTCGGTCTGGGCGCCTGGGCAGTGTGTCAGCCCTCACACAATGAATTGAATAATGCAACAAACAATCAATGAAACTTATCGCGTGATATTACACGTGTTGCAATTTCCTTCTTTCTTCCCTTCCCGATGATAGTTAACGAATACTGTTTGAACTTGTTAAGCATGACTGTTTTCCTTCCAGATGAAGTTCTTTATCCGTTCTCTACTTATGTATATTTTTTTCTCTTCTTTCTTTTTTTTTGATCTATGTTGTTTTATTATTATTGTGTGGCGCATTCTTCTTAGTGCCATATTGTACCAAGTTTTTATGTGTTTAGATAAATAAATAAGTAAATAAATAAAATACAAGAGTGGAAAATATCCAGTACAGGGACTGGATTACACTCACTACGGCATTAATAATATGGAGTCGGGGCACTTAGTCAGTTGAGTACTTGTGTTGTGAAACTTAAACAGCTGTTTATCTAATAATAACTGGAGTGCTATCATATCAGTGGAAACTTAAAGATAGCTACACAAAAAAATGGCGTCGAGCTGTTCTTTTGATCTCTGTGAGAAAGTATTTCCTGTCTAGGTATGCTTAGCAAGAAATGGAGTAATAGCAGTTGGTAAATTTAGGTAATATGACACTATCGATTAGGTATCATAAACTCCTCACTAGTGGATGTGAGGTCATTCAGCAGTAAACTCTAATACCTCCTATGGTCGTGGGTTTAAGTAATATGGTGATAATTTGCGATGTGATTGTCCAATATGACCTGTAGTGCTCGATGGCTATAAAGCACCTTCAGTAACCTAATCGTCAAATCAATTTGAGATGCAAACAGTTATTTATTAAAAAACATACAACTTAAGTGTCCATTCTAAGACACGCTGATTGTCTGGTCTTGTCTGTCTGAAATTACTAGACAAAAACCCTGAAAAACATTTGTCTACCAAAGGCATCAGGATATTAGTTGGTTTCCGCTTTCATCAGAAGCACCAATGAAATTGACAAACCTATACTAACTACGGAACGTGCATCAGAAACTCAATGGTAGAAAACATACCAAGATACATACAAATCGTGGATCCTGTGACATGTTAATCTTTTTCCAGTTGGTGAAATATCTGGCATTTACACTAGGTTAGCCATAATATACGAAATTGGTATACTTTGAATTAAACAAACGACTGACTGACTGGTTTCAACGGAGACCTTTGCACTGATATGCAGTAGTTTGAGTCTCCACACTTCACTTAGCACATCAACCAAGAGAAGAAAGTAAAAAAAAATGCAAGATAGAGACAATAAACAACGATATGAATAAAAAAGAACAGTAATATCGAGGAACCATACAGTTTTATTTCATATTATAAGTCACAAGGAGTGGATGCATCTGCGCTATTAACGATTTAAACGAACGTCTACTTTCTAATTTTGTTACGTACTGTTTCAAGTTCGTCATACATGTATTTATGAGCTCTATAGTGCCTGAAAAAAATCACTCACTAAAAGAACTGTCGTTTATTGGTCAAAGTACTCAACTCTTAACTGTCAAGTCATAGATTGTGTTCCTAATACGCTTGTCGATACCTGGTGCAAGGAACTAGTTGAAAAACTATTTTTAAATATACTCTTCAGACATTAACATTTTGATGCCACTAAAACGGCATTCATTGTTTGTTAGCAATAAGATTCTTCGAAAATACTAGTGAGTTTATCAGGCAAACAGTGTGAAAATGATGACACCAAATGATGCAGTTCACGCATAAAACAATGGGAACGCGTATATTAATAATTTAGTGTGCATGCAAGCTTTGATCCTCTTCCCCTCTGACAACTTTTAATGATGACCTGAAATACTGATGTCATAGGTAACATTAGAGCTGACATAATTTCTGGGTACTGAGATCAACTTTTCTGGCTAATTGAAAATGAGGTAAATGTTCGTATGATCATAACAGAACCGTTGGTGTGACCACGATTTTTTTTCCTGTTCCTGTGAAATCGTAGGATTCTTAATCGTAGTCGGGGGTGTATGAAGCAACTTAAAACACAAGCATACCAATATAGTTAAGCCTGGCCTTGTTTATGAATTAGCGAGTGGGGCTTAGCATTATCAGTCAACAGATGTTGCATTTATCTCATTCAAATATATGTGTGATAAGTGTTCTGAAGTCATCGGAACCTCTTGGAAACTCACTGCATTTTATGTGTTTCTAGTCATACATATTATGAGCCATTATCTTTTAATAAAATAAATACATTTTCATTGAATACTGTTAGTCGAGCATACCTTTTATCACTAATTTTTATGCAAATTTATGATAAATTTCTGGAGGTAACACTGTTTCTTCAACTTCTCGGGAACTAGCTTTCTGTCGGAGATCGTATTTGGTTAACTTAGTGCGCATGGAAGGTGTAATCGTGTTAGTCGAAAATTTTGACAAAATTTAGTCTTCTAAGAACATTGTTGGACAATGCGAGAGTTATTGGGATGCGTTAACCTTTCCGATGCTGACTTTTTCAATAAGAAGTGAACTAGCTAAACATCAGTCCTTTTTTTGGATAGTGAAGTCATCCTTGGTTGCTAGGGGTCCAAATAGTATCAGCATCAGCTAAAGTGTTGGTTTAAAGCTTGTCAACATACCCATAGTGTAGTGAAGATATCCGAGTTGTTAATATGAACAACAGTGTAAATTAGTCCTATCGACCACATTGTTTCCCTGTCTTACAGTGACTAGGGGTAAAAAGTATATAGGAATTAATATTTTCCCATAAGATATCTTCTAAGGATATTCTTGAGTAGCAAAACTTATTAAGCGAGAAAGACTTATGCCTTCCACAGTGTATTATATCGCATCTTGATTTTAATGTTTCTGTTTTAGTGAGTTTACTCGTCTATGAAAACCAAAATATATTACCACCTCCACCCAAGTTATTCATGTCCATACATGGTTAATCTTGAGGTGCGGTAGTCCCAGATGAATTAGGAAGAGACTGAAAAAACTGGAACTGCTTACACCAAGAGGTACCAGCAATACTTTAAGGTCACATAAAGACATTGGTTCCTCTGCTAAGGTCTTTAAGACATTACAAATCGATCCTAAGAGAATGTTCAGTATATCTTGAAGACTGTTGCAATGTTTTAGACGAATTCAGTCCCTGCCGTATTCAAAACATGAAAAATACCTTAAGGAAAATGGGTATCCAAAAGGATTTATCCTAAAGTACAGCAAAGAAAGAGTTGAGAAAGAGAAGCATCCAACAGTTGAAAAGAAGAAAGTGTTCATTTGCCTCCCATACAAAGGAGAAACAGTATCGCAAAAGATTGAAAAGAGGATGAAGGGAGCAATAAAGAGATGCTTCCCTGCAGCCAATCTGGTGACACTATACGGTACTACATGCTCTATAAGGCAATCGAAACTGGATAAGTACCCTGCTGATGTTACCTCCAACTTCATTTATAAATTTACGTGTACCTGCGGCAGCAAGTACATTGGAAGGACAGGAAGAAGGGCTTCTATCCGGTTTTCAGAGCATATTCCAAGAAACTTATATCTAAAAGGAAGCAGATATTTACAAAGTGCGATTACCAGACACCTTGTGGATACGGGTCATTCTGTCGAGATTTAAAAATCCTTGAAAATATTAAACATACAAAGGACAGCGAATCTACTACGATTTGCTGAAGCGATTGCAATCAAACGTCACAGACCAAACTTATGCCCACAGAAAGAGAGTGTAGTCAATCTCTCACTCCCTTGGTAGCCATATCACTTTTATAACACCGATTAGTTATACACACTAGTGAGCTCAACTCACTAAGCAAGTTTTCAAATTGATGAACTTTGACCTTCTTGAGTTACCATGTTGACACTGTTTACTAGATTTTTTCTGTTTTCTGTCTTCTCTCACCCCCTTTTTTGCTTTATTCATAGTTTGACAGTATATAAATTGATGATGCGTTCACCTTATAATGTTTTCTCTATTACCTTTCAAGCAATGAAGTATGAAATGTTATTATTCATGACCATTGTATTTCCAGGTAGTTTGCAGATGATGAGAACCTGTGAAATAGAATGATATCATTTTATACTGAAAATCTGGTCTTTCTTTCTCTATCGAAATTTATCAAGGGAACCAAATGTACAAAACATTTTACTTTCATACGTCTATAAATAATTTTGTTATTTTTTGCTTCATACAGTTGTAATGCGATTCTATAAAGCTTCACTTTCTCTTTATGCTATGTCCTTAACTGTGGCAACTGGAACTCATACGTTTCTATGACTTGCTTGTTTCAGCCATTTATGAAGTCTCTGACTTCTAATTTAGTGTTCTGAACCTGGACACAAACGACAGACAAAAGTGACGTGTATATATTTAAGGTAATAATTGGATGTTGACTAAAGCATTTTGTAAACAAAGTTGAAATAAATGTGTGAAACTTGGGAGCTGTGGTAGTATTTAGTTTCGTACTAATTTGTTCCATATGATCCTTTAGCCAACTTTGTTTCTAGGTCAGTTTGCGGGCTTTAGTATCTACCTTGTTAAGAATCCTACGCAAAGTTATAGAGGTCGCCTCTTTGTAAAGTGGCTTTACTGATGTCTTGAACTCTCTCTACTTGGCGCTGTCATCTTTATGTGTATATCTGGAATTCATTTCACCTACTAGTCGTTTTATCTCCACTCGTATGATTCCTTATATATACTTCGGGATTTATTTACTATGGTGATTATTAAGTGTTAAGGCCTCTCTTACATATTTTACTACCTGCCACAGATTTTCTTTCGTAGTTTACCTCATTAACTTGAGAGATCACAAAGTGTGATTGCAGCTGTGCACTGTCACAGACAGTCTCTAACCATTAATTCTTAGGATCCCGAGGGGCGTTACCATGAGTTTTATGCCGTCCTACTTGGCTCAGAGCAATAATTAAATACTTCATAGATTCATGATTTGTTTCGGTTTGAGATTTCTGGATGTGCGTAACACATGTCCAAGTCATGTGTGTCGATGCTACTTCACAAACTCGTCGGTTGCTTCCCAATACTTACCTAACATTCTGTGCATAACTTCATTCTCGACCGATAGCTGTTACGTTGACGTGGCAGTCGAGCTTGCATGTTGTAATGACACTGCTTTGAACAAATTTTTATGTGGGTCCAAGCATTCCAGAAACATCGTTTGGATAGCGATTAGACTAAAAGTAATTACTGTCATAGCGTAAGTCCTTCCACTGTTAATACTATTCCACAGATAGGGCCTTCATCTTTATTTTTTTGATTACTTCTTGATTCCACACTATATTTTTGGTACAGGTATGGAATTTTCAGCATGGATATCGGTAGCCCAAATTTCGCAGGCCGACCATAGATATCAGGTGTGCGTCGGTAGGGGATCGAACCTCTGACCATGTGCATGGTCGGCGAGAGTCCTAACCACTGTGCAACCGACGCTTAACTCTGCAATCATTGGTAGTGCTGAGGACCATGAAAACACCACTGATAGGCACTTGAAACCAGTCTGCTAACTCAGTATTGGATCATTAATCGTCAGCAATGTATGCCAAATCAAACAACAGGTTTCACTAGCTAGAATTCTGGCATCTCAAGCCATGAATGCATGTTGTGTTTCGGAAACAAACATACAAGACCCAAGTGTGGTTATCCCCTTAAACTCATCTGGTCAACATGGTTAACCCAAAAAATTCATCTTACGGGTATCTGAGGATTCTTCGGCTAATTCTCAGGAACATTTTAGTAGGTGACTTCAATGTTGAAGTAGGGAAGCTTTGCATGTTAAAAACGTATATGAATGACACGTACAGAGTCCCATGACGGCCAAATGAAAACGGTAATCGTCTTTTTACACTCAGATATCCATCTGTTCTTTGTCAGCACTATCTTCAAACACGAGGAGAGACAATGCCTGATCTAGCGATTTCCATCATCAAACCAGTGGTGGACGAAAATAAACTAGACAGCTATAAGTTGTCAGTGAAAAAGGTTCGTGGAAGAGTACCATTGTTTCCGGAACACGTGCATAGATTTCGCTCATGTACTGGTCCGTGCACGTGTACACCTGCGGCTGAACTGAGGTTCCAGATGCTGTCTCTAATCTTAAACGAGGCAAGGTATTGGGACATGTTGGAATGGCTCAGGTTTTGTTTAGGGATAGTAGTAGATTTATTGTCTGACTTAACTGAAGTATTAGGTGACTTGTTGGGAGCCCGAGATATTCCCATCAAACTGGTATAAGTCATTGGTTGTCACAGTTGATAAGATAGGAGACAAGTCTTCCTGTGATAATCATATCGGAATTACCGTGACTGATATAATGTCCTAAATTCTTGGTCTGAGAGGTTCTGGAGAGAAACAAACCAGTGAAAACCAGGCGGGCTTTACGCACAAACCAGAGTGTATTGACCGTATCTTTATCCTTCGACATATTCTGGACCAGTTGAATTAATTACCGGTGTCAAACTCTTGTCATACTTCTTGACCTAAGGTGGTATTTGACTCCGTCGACCGAGTGGTGCTGTGGTAATGTCTAGCTGTGAAATGAATGCCGAGAAAATATGCCGTACAAATAAAGACACTCTACTCACAGCCGCCAGATAGCTTATGGAAAGTTATCATCTGAAGTGATAACCCAGTGGTCTGTGTCATTTTCTGTGATTTCGTCATGGAAGTGACTGGTTACCAAGGGAAAGTTGCGGATGATGTATTCTTTCCAGGCAAAAATAGTGACAAAATGCAGAGTCTTCTGAATACATTGAGCAGAAATCCTAGTATGTTTGGCTTGCAATTAGCCCCTATTAAACGTAAGATGGTAATACAGGACTGCTGTGCACCGGCACCTAATTTAAAGATAGAAAGAGAAGTTGCTGAGTGTTCCGACCACTTCACTTATATAGGAGGTGGCAACAACGCTTATGAACTGATTCCTGTCAGAAGAGACTCATGTGGCGTTTGTAAACTTACCTCATGTGGTACAGATGCGATATTCAGCTATGTGTCGTGTAATTTGTGTATTACGCAACAGTTCACTATTATCCACGAGAAAATTATAAAATATTAAAAGATCCAGTGTAATAATTTCTACAGTGTTTTGTTTATTTTTAAACCCGATTATGAATTCCATTCATTTGTTATACTTAGCTATGACATTCGACACATGTATGCACCCTAACGTGGTTACTGAATTCTATTGTTAATGGTTACTGATTATTTTCAGGATACAGCAGAAGAGGTTTCCTCCTGATTGGCGCTTAATGTCTAGATTAATATTATTTCCCTTTTTGCTTTTGCCAATGGTCTATTACCTCACCAATTTGGGGATTTTTCCTGCGTCGGTGGCACAGTGGTTAGGACTCTCACCGACCGTGCACATGGTCCGGGGCTCGAGCCCACGCCGACGCACACTTGATATCTATGGTCGGCCTGCGAAATTTTGGACTACCGATATCCACGTTGAAAATTCCACACTTGTACCAAAAATACGGTGTGGAATCAAGCTGTAATAAAAAATTTTAAAAAAATTAAATTAATTAATTACTTCGTCTGGTACTTTTTTTCTAGGCATCGGTGGTCCACTGGGAAAATACTTGCCAACCACACGTGTGGTCCGAGGTTCGATTCCCCACCGACGCTCTCCTTAACCTCGCTCAGTTTACTGGTCGATATTAAGCCCGAAGAAAAGGGAGGGTTGCGTGTGAGGTTGGCAACCCTACTCCATTTAGAGAATACAGCTATCGAAGCTTCAAAACTTAGAACCTGAAGTCCTGTTCCACTTAAAACGCAAAGGAATGGAAGAAAATCTAAGCGCCACTTGGCCACCGGGGAATTATTCCAACATTGATGTATTAGAAGAGACAAGAGATCTGGCTAGGATATGGTTCAGGATAAGGATCCGCATATATCGATGCTCGCAACTTCATTGTGTACCCTTCACATTTTGTTCACTACCAATGTTCGCTACATATTTACCTAATGTTGGAGAAAACTGTTTACCATAATCTGGTTAATCACACACTGTCCAGGTTTGTGGTGATTTTTTCCTCTATAGTATTCAAATTATCATAAATTCACGATCTCTGCGACGCATAATTCAGGAGATTTTTTTTGGTTTTTATTGCTTCTTCTTCAGGTTGTAGCTCTTGCTGTGTACATTTACTTCGGCGTTACAATCTTCGCTCATCAATTTATCGATGTTTCTGTAATCATAAAAGCTGCCAACTTAAAAATAAATACATCAAGTTTAACAACACCCAACAGTAGTATTGTCGGGAAACCAATCAATGTTTTCAGTAATCTGTCTGACCTCTTACCACCATCATCTGACAACAGTACTAGTGGTATGCCATTCCTTCAGGTGTATCCAAATTTTCCGTTATTCACAATTCTTTCATTCATTTTTTACAATGGTTGGCTTAAAGTGGCTGAATCACTTGTCTCACCTTTCGGTGATGATGATGATGATTTTGAAGCTGTTCCTTTATTGGAGAGAAATTTGAATGCAAGTTTATATTTTGTAGATGCCAGTATTTCAAATCCTGATTTAATTCCTCGTGTAGTAAAAACTGTCTGTAGAATTGATGTTGATGATTATGATAATGAGGGTTATTCTGGTACAGGTAATGATGGTGATGGTTATTATAGCCGATCGACTACACCAGCAGCAGGTCTCCGAACAATGCATGGTTTTCGATCAAGAGGTGATAGTCAAAGAAGCAGTGTTATGTCACCTGCCTATTCTGATCCTAGATATTTCCCACCTTCACCATCAACTTTAAGATCAATTATAGATAATGAAATACCTTATTTGCCACCCAGTCGTCAGCGTAAACCGTCACATACACCCTTTAAAGGATCTCTCGCTGTACTGGCAAATCCAAAAGATGATGATTCAATAAATTTACAAACCAACTCTCCTTACCTTGATACTGATCAGGGCAGTGAACATCTAAGTCCGGATACCTTATATACTTCAATGGAATCGTCTATTCACCGATTAGGATCTAGGCTGAAGAAATTGTCACACGTCCTACCAGGTCCTTCATCAGTGCATGGAGTAGTCCGTCGCACTCCAAGATCTGCAAATCTACCGAGGACAGAAAGTTTTACATCTTTTCAAAGTGATACTATACCTGAATAGTTCGTTTGTTATTAATAGAGATACCGTTCTGCGCCTTATTTCTGTTTGTTACTTCTACAAGCATTTGTTCGAGATATGCTTTATTGTATTGTTCCTGTGAAGAGAAAAACAAACAAACAGTATACCATTTGCTTAGCGTGTGGCTGTGTTGAACTTAATGTAAATTTAGAGCTTTGATGTGATTGAACAGGTTAACTTTTTTTTCGTTTATTTGTTTGTTTTGAATTCTTGTACATTCTAACTTAAATTCTTATTTCATTCAACTACTACTGATAATGCTTAATCTATTGTCAGATTTTGTGTACTGATTTTCATCTTACTTCAGATTGTGTCATTGACAATGTCCTCTGCTAGCGATGATCTAGAACAGCTTCTGACTAATGCTAGGTGCAGCTTCTGTTTCCAAATTATACACACTTTCTAACCACAAGGCTACACGGTCTTTATGTTTTGATTTTATGCATGAGTTCTTTTGCAGTTTGTTTTACCGGGTTGAATGTACCAACGCGTATCGGACAGTAGCAATGAAGTATCGTAAGTATAGCCTGTGGTCGTCTGTACTGTCTGAATGGTAAATAGTTGACCTTAAATTTAGCGCAGTCTGATGTTTACTTACTTCAGTCAGCGTTTATGTTGACCAATTAAACAATAGAGAAATAATTCACATTAAGCCATGGTCAAAATCCAGACTAGCGCTATCAAAAGAAGTAATAGTTCCTTATACACCCAAACCACTGGTAGGCAGTGATGATGTGGTCTTTTGAATCTAGACTTGCGTGATACGGTTCTAATACCATATAGCAGTTATACTATGAGTTGATGCTGGTTGACGTAGACTGTGATCTGTGCAACGCTGCAAAAGACTGTCCTCATTATCCGACTTGCTTACATCCAGTCTATAATATATCCACTGTATGCATTCAAGTCCCCAGCTAGTACATCTACATACGCCGAGCGCACTTGATTTGAGGAAGTCGTTCATCTCTGTCTGTCTGTCTGGATTCAACATAGAACTTGGCACCGAAGTGTAGCAGTTCAAGTTGCCACGTTCCAAATAGCACACAAAGGTAGACAAGAAGATGAGTGAAGAGAATCAATACAGTCTGACAAGTATAAGAGTGAAACAGAATGGGTAATGGTAGAAAGGAATATGAAAGATTACAGAGACTGAATACATCTGCGCTGGCCATTGACAACGATTTTGAGCCATGTCACCTATTGTCTCCAGCCATTGATTCCTAGAGTCCCGAGGGCCCCAACCCGGAAGTCTGCATCTCCCTACCTGCTGACTCAGTTTAACTGTCAAGGATTTCATGGATTGATGAGGCCATGTTTTTGTTTGGCCACCACTGGCTCTTTTCCAACCTTCACCTATATCAGCTAGTAATGCCCGTCGGGGGAGGCGGTGGTTAGGCATGCGCCGCACGTGACCTAGCCATCTTAGTCTATGTAACTTTATAGCCTCGTTGATTGATTTTCCCTCTTTGCCCAACACTCTACGCCTAAGGTCAACATTACTTACCTTGTGAAACCACCTAACGTGAGAAAGAGATCGTAGACATCTATGATCGAAAGCAGTCAACCTTTTCATGTCTTCAACGCGTATTGGCCATGTTTCAGAGCCATAGAGAAGGGCGGAGCGAACTGCTGAGCAGTACACACGTCTTTTGGTTGATAACCGGATGTCACGCCTACGCCAGAGATGGTGTAAGTCAGCGAAAGCAGCTCGAGCTTTTCGGATCCGTGCTGAGATTTCATCGCCAATCAGTCCGTTGGTGCTAATACAACTTCTCAAATAGGTGAAGTGGTCAACATGTTCTATCACTTCACTCCCTATCACTAAGTTAGGAGTTGACGTGGTCCAGTCCTGTAGTAGCATCTTACATTTTGTAGGGGCGAATCGCATGCCAAACATACGAAGATTGCTGCTCAAGGTGTTCAGAAGACTCTGCATTTTGTCATCATCCTCCCTAACAGGACTATGTCATCTGCATATTCTAAGTCCATAAGACTATTCCCTGGTAACAAGTCGATTCCTAAGTCATTACGTTCAGTTAAGGATACTTCCATCAGCATATCTATGATGAAGTTAAACAGAAATGGGGAAAGTGGACATCCCTGTCGGACACCACTGGCTGTTACCAATTCAGATGACAGTTCCCCGCACCGACGCACACCCGATATCTATGGTCGGCCTGCAAAATTTGGGCTACCGATATCCATGCTGAAAATTCCATACTTGTACCGAAAATACAGTGTGGAATCAAGCTGTAAATCAAAAAAAAAAATCAAAAAATAAGCCCTTACACGACTACGTGAGTTTGAATAGAGTGCCTTGATTAGTGCAATGTACTTTCTCGGCACTCCCTTCACAGTCAGATATTGCCATAGTACCTTTCGATCCACGGAGTCGAAGGCCGCGTTCAAGTCAAAAAATATGGCAATTGTTGGACGCCGAAAAGTGTGTCTATGTTCTAGAATCTGTCGGAGAGTGAAGATATGATCTATGCACCCTCTACGTGGTCTAAAGCCTGCTTGATTTTCCCTTGTCTGTTCCTCCCGAGTTCTGCTTAGTTTATGCATGATTACTGAGTCTAGGATTTTAGAGACTATGTTCGTTAGGCGAAGTCGTTCATATGATGGTAGAACTCATCCTCAATAGCGTACAGACTACTGTCTGCATTCAGGGATGACAAAAAGACGCGGCTTATCTGACCAATCACTTTTCAGTTAATTATAACCTTTTATTCCAATATCACTGTGAAGATTGTTATTGGGGAGTTAGTGAAGTAAGACAGTTTTAGTTGTCATACTTATCACGGCACCAATACTAGCTAAACTCATACGGTAAGACAAGCGCACATGCGGTCTGTACTCAAAGGTGGATAAGTTGTTTTTGGAGCGCTTTAATACTGATCTATTAGGAGCAGAGTAAATAATTAGCGAAGCAGGCTTCAGTCAAATGTGCCAGTGACCGATTAAAATCTGTGTTTGAATGTGGTAGGTGAAAAAAATATTGAATGGTGGATATTAAAAATCCAGTTTTCTGGAAGCAACTATTTAGCGATTCAATCTTTCAAATAATGAGAATCATGCAATGAAAAAGGATAAAATCAAGTATCAACATAATAAGAAAATTAGACATTTCGTGCATGAGAATAACAATATAGGAATAAATAATTTACTAATTTGAACATATAGACAACTAAGTACTAAGTAGACTTTAAATGAGCTGTTCACTAGATCGTCGTTTGGCGTTTAGTGGGTTACCCGATATTACTGCCTAAATTCCTTAACTGAACTACATAATTGTGTTGACGTACTACAACTTAACAAAACTTTGACTCGCAGTTGACAACAACAAAGTCAACAGATTTATTCTTACGGCTGTAGGTGATCGAAGCAGAATCATGCATTTGTGTTCATTTCGTATACTTCATCCTATGTGCATCACTAGGTTGGAATGAGGATTTTTAATCCCCAGTGATGAGTGTTCCTTCATTTTCAGGGATAACAAGCCCCGCTGCTTGAAGACAGTGGATAAGGTGTACCTGCTAAAAACTATGAACGCGTGATCGTGTGAGAGAGTTTGAAGGGAATATCGAGGTCTAGGCACCTTTGAGCGTATCACGTGATATAAGGGATAGGAACTCAGTAATCCTGAAAGTTTTTATCATTCCATAAAATTATTTTAGTTTTTTAGAGTATAGCGTGAATAAATTACACGTGAAATACAAAACCGAAATCCAAGAAATGTTTTGAGTTTCTTTTACTGCCCCCCCCCCCCCAAAAAAACTAGCTGGAGTTGTGTTTCGTCTGCCAACATAAATCTTACCGGTTTGTGCTTCTCTACATATCCCCATATATTACCTGTTTAAGTAATCAGTTACGCGCAGGAATCAGTTATTACATGGTAGCCGTAGAGATTTCCATTCAGTGACCAAATTGTGTTTGACATTATTTTTCAAATGGGGTCAAGCAAGACACTATTGGTTTGATAGTTCGCTTTTTTAATTTCCGTATTGGCACGATTGTCACAGACTGCAGATGTTCCCATATTCTCTGTGTTTATGAGTACCATCCCAACACACAGGAACTTCAAGAGTGATCCACTATGCCATGAATCAAGTTTTTCGACAATGAGCGCCTAAAATCTCTTCATGAAAGAGTTACGGTGTGCAGTAGGAGTCGGCGTACTTCATAAATGTCCGCGAAAAATGATATGACACAATAGCTTCAGTCGTCCAAAGATTGTGAGGATTAAAGTGGCTGAATGACGCTAATTTGGCATGATGCCTCCATTTCTTAATTGAGAGATATCAGTTCCATTGTATACAATTTTCGACTTGTTTGTTTTCACGGGATGTAGAGAACTTGTAATCATCTTCATGTTGTAATTACGATGAATTTCACCCAGTGGGGGAACACCAGGATGGTCACATTAAGCGTCTATTTACTAAAAGTAAGTTGAAGCGAATATCAAAGTTAGATATCAGTGACATTTAATCAGTTTAACGTTTCGACTGTAGACGAAAATCTCTGCGTACTACAAAGTATTCACGATTATTTGTTGTAAATTGAATTAGTCAACTAATAGTGTATAAAGCTTGCAATTTCCTGTATGTTATCAGCCACAATGTCACTTGGAAGTTTTAAGAAAATAAGTGAAGGCAATAAATATAATGCGATTTCTATTCAACAGTCTTTTCAAGTATAACATAATGGTGTGGACAGTGATTATTTTTTTAACACATGATTCTTTCATTACATGAACACTAACCTGTAGTCTTGTGGTAGATTCCATGAAACAAGGTGAATCTACACTGCAAGTTATACAGAACTTTTAAAGTCACCTCGGTTTAACCAAATATGTTGCCTGAAAAACAGTATTTATGAAAGTTATATCAGTAGGATCATGCTGGCTTAAATAAATAACAGCTTAAATAAAGAAATACCAGCCTTCAGGAAAATGCTTCTATAATTTGTAATTTACCTACTAA